AAGGCGACCTTTAAACGTTGGTCAGGACGCAGCTGCTATTTCTTATTATATCGGTTCGAAAATCTCAATTAACATAACTCACCTAGCAATGCTCAAAGTGCGATGCCATAAACTAGCTGGCCTGCATTGTCGCCCAGATAGCAAAGGACTTTGGCAACTTCCCGTGCTGGCTGAATCCGTAACTGAATCTGAATCCGAATCCGAGGTGGGCGGGCGAACGGACGGACGGTCGGACGGTCGGGCTCGGCTCATTGTCAAACTGGAAATTGTGTTCATAAATCAGAAACTGCCGCACATGTGTGACACGCCCCCAACCCTCCTCGTTCCTCCCCCATATCCCATAAGCCGAATGCCTGCAGCCAGTCGAAACCCCAATTCAGAATCTAAGCCTGATTCACTCCTTCTCCTGCTGCTGCTGCTGCTACTCCTGCTGCTGCTGGTAGTCCACGTTTATTGTGTTGTCAATTTGCTGCGCTCGTTGGTTTCTGGGCTGAGTGTGTGTGTGTGTGTGTGTGGCTGTGGCGTAATTAGATTTCGGGGCTGCTCGGGCGACCACGAAAACGGGAAGTGGCAGACAATTAAGGCAGCAGCGTCCAAGCTGGCAATGAAGGAAGCGTTCGACGGCTCAATTAAAATTTACAAACTGATCGCATCGGCATTGCCAGCGATATCAGCGCTAAATAAAGCCGCTGCCATTTCCTAGCCAAATGACCAACTGTCCAAGTTTAAATAAAAAATGCCAAAAACAAAATGAAAAGACAAAACACAAAAAGCGTACAAACAATTTAGCGACGATTAAGTGGATGCGACTGGCGATTGTGATTTGTCAAAACTGGACCATGACCATTCATCAGCCGCATGGCCAACAATTAAATCGCACGCACTGAGCCCCAGCGTCAACAGCAACACATTTGGCCACAAAATGCTGCAGCCCGGTTCCTCATGGATGTGAATGTTTGTCTTCTCGTTGTTGTTTCTGTCATGCGTCTGAGCCGGCTAGGCTGAAGAGGAAAGTGTTTGGTCTGCCTCGCCGTTGTCATCTCAGCCTCAGTCTTAGTCACTTTGTTAGTTGGTTAAACTTCCGCACCAACAGTGCAGACGACTACGACGACGACGACGACGACTGCATCCGCATGCAACTTTCTGTGTGAGATTTCCGCCTATTGCAGCTGTAACTGCCTACGCCTGCTGGGAGGGGGCGACGAAGGGGTGGGAGCTGCTTGCTTCTTGCCTTTAAATGCGCATCTGTGTCTATTTGCTTATGTGTGTGAGAGAGTGAGTGTGTCTGTTGAATTTATTACGAGATTGTAAATCTGCCACGATTACTGCAATTATGTGGCCTAGAGCTGAGCACACAACGCCCTCTGGGCGCTGAGGGCTGAAATTACGGGAGGGGGCGGCTCAGCCAAAGAATGCGTATGTGAAGTTGTTGCTGGGTTATCATAGAATGGAAAGGCAAGGACTGGGTGTGGGTCTAAAGATAAGAAATTCTAAGACATTAATTGGAATTGCTGGGCTGTGTTATTGTTAGCAATAATCAAGATAGAAAACGGGTTGAATGTGGAATATTATTTAAAGGCGATTTGAACTGGGTATTTATAAAACATAAAATAGAAAATATGATATATAAAATATATAATATAAATTATAAAATATGAACTATAAAATATAAAATATAATATATAAAATATAAAATATAAAATATAAAATATAAAATATAA